CCACAAAATCCTCCTTGGTCAGGGCCGGCAGGTGGGTGCCCTCGATCTCGTTGTCCTCAAATTTGTCCCGGTGTTCCACCAGGTTGATGCTCTCCAGCCAGTCCCCGACGTCGTACTTGTTCCACAGCTGTAGGGGCTTCTGCATGAAGGGCCGAGGCGGGTGGAGGGCGTGCAGGGGCCCCCCCGAGGAAGGCGAGGGGGACGGGGACCGGCTCCGGGCGCTGACGCTCCTCACCACAAAGCGCACCTCCTTGGGTTCGTGCGGGATGGAGAGGCTGGAAGATTTGAGGATGGTGGGCGGGGTGAGCCCGTAGGGACGCACGGAGCTCAGTGGGTCTGTCCTATCCAGGGTGGGCTTTACCGGGCTGGGGGTGCGGCGGGTCACAGGGTAGCGGCTGCCGGGACGGACGGTGTAGGTGGTACCCGAGCTGCGCTGCGAAATGGTGCTCAATTCTCCTAGACTACTGAAAAGTCTGCAGAGAGAGAATGGGACAGACACACACACAGAGAGAGAAACAGAGAGAAAGCAGTGGTGAGGGAGAAGTCCTCAGACACCAGAACTCACACAGACACACACACACACACACACACACACACACACAAGCACACAATCTACACAGGAGAGTAGGGTGGTTGTGGTTCTGCAGAGCCCACAGCTGATGCTACCTCAACCACTCCCATGGCAGTCAGAAGCCCAGAGGCCTCAGACTCTCTTCTTGTCCAGTCACAGAGACAAACCTCTCAAGTAGTTCTCTAGAATGTGCACCTCTTGTCTCTGAATTGCGGGCCTTTCCTAGGGTGGTTCAAGGATTCTCCTCCTGCTAGCCCCCAAATCTGCCCAGAGATCAAGAGGTCCTGGACATGCCCAAAGCAGAAAGTCTATCATGACTAGGGCATCTGCATCTCCTGGTATGTCCCACGGAGGACCTTACGGTCTTCAAACAAAAACATCTTGGAGGTCCCGGGCCACAGGGAGGTTAGGCTGGCCTTGACCAGAGCCAGGGCTTTTTCAGCCATGGCCCCGATCTGGTGGAACGCTCTGCCACAAGAGACTAGGGCCCTGCGGGACTTGACATCTTTCCGCAGGGCCTGCAAGACAGAGCTGTTCCACCAGGCCTTTGGCCAAAGCACAGTCTGACCTCCTCTCTCCTTCGGTAATCCTCACAGAACTCTAGCCCAATGGTTGCCATTGATTTGATTCTGAATTGATTTTAGAATGAATTGATTTTAGAATGCTGTGTTACTTTTATTGTTGTTAGCCGCTCTGAGCCCGGCTTCGGCTGGGGAGGGCGGGATATAAATAAAATTATTATTATTATTATTATTATTATTATTATTATTATTATTATCATCATCATCATTATTATTATTATCTCTGAGGAGCCTGACATGCAGCAGAGATTTGCACAGGGGCCGGATCTAAAGTATGTTGCTTGTTACAAAGATTGACCCCTGTAACATTTAAAAAAACCCCCAAACAAACAGGATCTAGGGGGGCTGGGAAATGACTGTCCAGTTTGTTGTGTTCCCGAAAAGAATGATAGAAAGCATTATGAAAGGCAGAATTACCAAGCATTGATAAGAGCAAGCTTTGCTGAAGCAGAACAAGTGCTGCCTCGTTAACCTTTCAGAATAGTTTGCCAAGGAGTGTTTAGACAAAGGTGGTTCGCTGGACGTAGAGGACTTGGATTTTCAAAATGCTTTTGACAAAAGACTCCTGAGTAACATTAGCAGTCAAGGAAAAAGAGGAGAGGTCTGCTTGTGGACCTGGAATTGGTTAAGTTGCAGGAAGCAGAGAGTCGGAATAAATGGACTGTTCTCCAAATGGAGAGAAGTAGGAAGTGGCGCCTCCCAAGGATCGGTGTTGGGACCTGCGCATTTTAACTTGTTCATAAATGACATAGGAGAAGTGAGGTGGTCAAGTTTGCTAATGACCCTGAATTGTTGAAACAAAAAGGGGCTGGGACACACAAATGGGGTCTGAGCTGGAGGTGTTTGGCCAGAAATGAGGCCTTGGGGCCACAGCGGAGAGCTCAGTGAACATGCTGCGAAAAAGGTGGATTCCATGCTAGGGATCGCTAGAAAGAAGAAGAAGAGTTTGGATTTGATATCCCGCTTTATCACTACGCGAAGGAGTCTCAAAGTGGCTCACAATCTCCTTTCCTTCTTCCCCCACAACAAACACTCTGTGAGGTGAGTGAGGCTGAGAGACTTCAGAGAAGTGTGAGTAGCCCAAGGTCACCCAGCAGCTGCATGTGGAGGAGCGGGGAAGCGAACCCAGTTCACCAGATTACGAGTCCACTGCTTTTAACCACTACACCACACTGGCTCTCTGGAACCCAACCTAAAACTGCCAATGTCATATGCCATTGTACAAATTTGTGAAGTGTCCGCACTTGGAATACTGTGCAGAGTTTTGGCCCCCTAAACTCAAAAAGGACATTGTGGAGTTGGAATGGAGCGACTCTCCCAAGAGGAAAAGTTGCAGCGTTCAGGAATTTTTAGCTGAGGAAAAAGTTAAGTGGAGGCAAGAGAGTGGTGTGCATGATTTCGCACGATGTGGAGATGCTTTTCACCATCTCATAACCTGGGACTATCAAATGAAGCTCAATGTTGGGAGATTCAGGACTGACTGAATGAGTCAGTACTTGGCTGAACTATGGGACTCATCCCAATAAGACTGAGTGATGGCCACTGGCTTAGGCAGCTTCAGAAGAGGATTGGGCAAATTCATGGAGGGGGGGCTACCAGTGGCTACTAGCCTCCCCTGTCAATGTCAAAGAGTCTCCAAAAAGAAGATCAGTAATTCAGACGAGCCATTCAGCTTCAGGGTCTGTGTCTGTGCATACGTCAAGCAAAAGGCCACAAACAGCCGCTAAAGTGTCAGATGGTGAGTTGATCTGTCTCAGTTCAAAAGGAATCTGACAAAGCAGATTCAAGTACCACTTATGATGCTGGCCCTGCCTCTTGAGTGGATGTGGGAGGGCACAGAGAGCCCACAAAAACCCCTGGGACAGGGAGTGGTGCTGCTTGGTGGGGGAACGAGGGCTGGGTTTCTGAGATTGCAAGGGACATGCCTGCCACTCTCCGAGAGCACAGCTCCTTCACATGCTCTCATCTCGGGAGAGGACCTCTTGTCTTCAGGCTACAGCCCATGCCCCCCAGGCTAAGAGAAAGGCTGGGGCCACCGCCACATTCCCAAAGGTTGAACCAACCCCCTCGTTGCACCAACACCTTCCGTTGCTAATCTGCATTACTGCCTGCTGCTGAGAGCCCCTGCCGAACCCTGGGAAAGGAAGGGTCAAAGGGCCACTTGCCTCTAGGCCAGGCTTCCTCCCCAGCTTAGGGATCAGGGCTGAAGTGGGATGGAAGCCTGGGGACTTGTCTTAAGAGCTCAATCTTGGTGGTCATTGGGGTTCCTCTGGGGTGTGGGGTGGGGAGGGCAAATGGTGGCCACAGGCATGAAAGTGGGAAAAAAGGCAAGTGTTAGTTGGGGAGCTTCGGCCAACGCTTCATCTCCTGGCGAAGGGAAGGGAATGGGTGATGCTTTAAGCACCATAGAAGTACATGTGAAAAGTATCTAGGGATGTTAGTAGACCACAAGCTTCACATGAGTCAACAGTGTGGTGCAGCAGTAAATTAATAATAATATTAAAAATAATAATCTAGGTTGCATCCACAGAAATATAGTGTCCAGGTCAAGAAAGTGATAGGACTGCTCTATCCAGCCTTAGTCAGATCACACCTGGAATACTGTGTCCAATTCTGGGCACCACAATTTAAAGATATTAAGCTGGAATGTGTGCAGAGGAGGGCAGCCAAGATGACTAAGGCTCTGGAAACGAAGCCTTATGATGAACGGTTGAGGGAGTTGGGTATGTTGAGCCTGGAAAAAGAGGAGGCTGTGGGGAGATATGAGAGTCATCTTCAAATACCTCAAGGGCTGCCCCATGGAAGATGGGAGCAGGCTTGTTTTCTCCTGCTCTGGAGGGTAGGACCCAAACTCATAGCTTCAAGTTACAAGGAAGGAGATTCTGAACTCCCTTGGAAGGTGGTGGTCTCCCCTTTCTTGGAAGGTTTTAAAGCAGCAGTTGGATGGCCATCCCTCAGAGATTCTCTAATTGGAATTACTGCATTGCAGGTGGATTAGATGACCCTTAGGGAGATTCCCCCAACTCAACAATTCTATGACTGAAGCCTAATGCAGATGCTTTGGGATATGTGGTGTGCATGGATGGAGATGGGTGAGTGTGGAAAGTATTCCATTGGCTTCTTCATGGGGCTGCCATCTAGAAAGAGCTGGCTATTGAGGACCCGAGAGACAGCCCTGAGCTCAGCCCTTTACCCTGCCTTACGAGGCTTGACCAGGGGGAACCATGTGTCGTAGCATTTTTAATCTCCCAGTTTTGCATTTCTTGATCTACCTGCTTGGCCTCTTCCAGATGGCGCTGCAGCTTCTAGCTGTTGTACTCTAAGAGCAGCCCAGCAATAAAACCCCTCCCGGAAAAACTCTTGAAAACCTGCAAACGTTTCTCAGCAGCTGTGCCATGAAGGCAGGAAGGCCCTGTACTCTTCAAGTCAAGTGCAGGAAAGGAAGATGAGCTGGGTCATTGGCATGATCTGGCTGTTATGTTATTAGGTAAAGGTAAAGGGGCCCCTGACCATTAGGTCCAGTCGTGACCAACTCTGGGGTTGCGGCACTCATCTTGCTTTATTGGCCGAGGGAGCCAGCGTACAGCTTCCAGGTCATGTGGCCAGCATGACTAAGCCTCTTCTGGCAAACCAGAGCAGCACATGGAAACGCCGTTTACCTACCTGCCAGAGCGGTACCTATTTATTTACTTGCACTTTGACGTGCTTTCAGACTGCTAGGTGGGCAGGAGCAGGGACCGAGCAACGGGAGCTCACCCCGCCACAGGGATTCAAACCGCTGACCTGATCGGCAAGTCCTAGGCTCTGTGGTTTAACCCACAGCGCCACCCACGTCCCAAAATGCAAGTTGTAGTGGCCAGAAATCAAACCCGGGCCTCCCGCGTGGCAGGCAAGAATTCTACCACTGAACCACCAATAATCTTGGCAGCCACTTCAAGACAACTTATTCTGGGATAGCCAAGGATTAAAGTGGACTGTCTGCCTTTCTGCTTGTAAACACTAACAATTAATAAACACCCCTTTGCATCGAAACCACCTGTGCATTGTACTGGCACGGAAAGTCTAAGAACTCATTGCTTTTTACAACTGCCTGCATTGAAGACTGATCCTGGCAGCCAGGAACTGCCCTTGGCATGCAGCAGTTCAGCAGACGCCATGGGATGTGTTCGCAGGGAGCCTTACAGCAGGGTGGTCCTTCTTTTCATGGGTGGGCTGTGTGACCAGCTCAGGGCCCAAAGAAGGGATTCATTTCCTCACGCATCTCCATGCATGCCGAACAAGTGACCAGGGCAGATGGTGTAGCCTCCAGACAGCACCTGCTATGCTGTCCTCTCAGAATACAAGCTCCGCTGAGAGTCCATTTGAATTGGCCGTTGAGCAGGAGAAGGACCTGTTCTTCCAGAGCTGCAGGGAGTGTCAGGATCACAACCTACTGCTCTTGGGATTGGCTTGGTTGGCAGGAGTGACCCATGGTGGGGTGGTCCACAGCACAGGGACAGCCAACATGGGACCTTCTTGATGTTGCAAGAACATAAGAAGAGACTGCAGGATCAGGCTAAAGGCCCATGGGGTCCACCATCCTGTTTTCACAGTGGCCAGCAAGCAGGATCAGTGCACAAGGACACTCTCTCATCCTGAGTTTCCCAACAACTGCTATTCAGAAGCATTCCTGCCTCCAACTGCGGAGGTGGAACATGGCCAGCATGGCTAGCAGCCCTGGATAGTCTTTTCCTGCATGAATTTGTCTAATCCTTTTTTAAAGCCATCCAGGTTGGTGGCCTCCTGTGGACTACACTGGCCAGTTTAGCCATTGGAGGGCACCATTTTCTAGACTGCATCCACACCTGGCTTGAGAGCAGTACATGTGAAAAGGATCTAGGAGTCTTGGTTGACCACAAACTTGACATGAGCCAACAGTGTGACGCGGCAGCTAAAAAAGCCAATGCAATTCTGGGCTGCATCAATAGGAGTATAGCATCTAGATCAAGGGAAGTAATAGTGCCACTGTATTCTGCTCTGGTCAGACCTCACCTGGAGTACTGTGTCCAGTTCTGGGCACCACAGTTCAAGAAGGACACTGACAAACTGGAACGTGTCCAGAGGAGGGCAACCAAAATGGTCAAAGGCCTGGAAACGATGCCTTATGAGGAACGGCTAAGGGAGCTGGGCATGTTTAGCCTGGAGAAGAGGAGGTTAAGGGGTGATATGATAGCCATGTTCAAATATATAAAAGGATGTCACATAGAGGAGGGAGAAAGGTTGTTTTCTGCTGCTCCAGAGAAGCAGACACGGAGCAATGGATCCAAACTACAAGAAAGAAGATTCCACCTAAACGTTAGGAAGAACTTCCTGACAGTAAGAGCTGTTCGACAGTGGAATTTGCTGCCAAGGAGTGTGGTGGAGTCTCCTTCTTTGGGGGTATTTAAGCAGAGGCTTGACAACCGTATGTCAGGAGTGCTCTGATGGTGTTTCCTGCTTGGCAGGGGGTTAGACTCGATGGCCCTTGTGGTCTCTTCCAACTCTATGATTCTATGATTCTAAGAAGTCTAGTGTCCAGGTCAAAGGAAAGTAATAGCCCCACTCTATTCTGCCTTGGTCAGACCACACCTGGAATACTGCGTCCAATTCTGGGCACCACAATTTAAGAAGGATGTTGACAAGCTGGAACGTGTGCTGTGGAGGGCAACCAAGATGGTCAAGGGTCTGGAAACCAAGTCTGATGAGGAACAGTTGAAGGAGCTGGGTATGTTTAGCCTGGAAAAGATGAGACTGAGAGATGTCACAGCCCTCTTCAGGTAACTGAAGGGCTGTCAGATGGAAGAGATTTGCTTTCTCCTGCTCTGGAGGGTAGGACCCAAGCCAGTGGCTTCAAGTTACAAGAAGTAAGGTTCCAACAAAACACCAGGAAGAACTTTCTGACAGGAAGTGGTATTTTGGCAGTGGATAGGTGTTTCTCGGGAGGTGGTGAACTCTCCTTCCTTGAAGGTTTATAAGCAGAGGCTGGTCATCTGTCAGGGATGCTTTCGCTGAGATTCCTGCATTGCAGGGAGTTGGGACTAAATGACCCTTGGGGTCTACGATTCTATGATTCTGACCGTGGCACAAGGTGTGGCCCATTTTTTTGAGCCTGTCATACAAGAAGACCGTGAAGGCAGCTATGGAACACCATGGACCCAGCTTAAGGGCTTTGACCTCACTCTAGGAATCTCTCTTAAATCTCCCCTGCCCACACTCTACTCAAATTATGCTGACCAAGGAGAAAGCCTTGGGGAACCCTAGGTAGTGCAAGGGCCTTTTGAGGGTTCTGTGTTTGGATGAGGCCCTGGGTAGGCTGCAATTGCCATGGGCAACTCACTCTTTCTCTCCCTCCCCAAGTCTCGCTTTGCCACCAGTAACATGCAAACAATAGCCATCATATTCAGAAGGCAACTGTGAGGACTCACAGCACTGTTAAGTGGTTTGCGGCCTGTCAATGATGCCCATAATAACCCCCATCTACTCTGCTGACCCCTAACCCTTGTGCAGGCCTTGCCAACTGAGAGGTGGCGCTGGCTCTTCACAGCACCACCCCCTCTTTCGCTTCAGGATCTCAGGACAGAGAACCGCTGGCAGAGAACTGGGAAGCCCCAGAGTCACAGGGGAGAGAAACACGGCTGTAAGCGAGAGCCGGTGGTGGGAGAGACCAGAGTTCGAATCCCAACTTGGCCACGAAGCTCGCTGGGGGTGCAAATTTGGAGGACAGTCCCCTGCCTCTCAGTCACAGGGGTCTTGTGGTCATTAAGCAAGGGGGGGGGGATTGTGTATGCTTCACCTTGAACTCCTTGGAGGAAAGAGCGGGATAGAAATGGACAAAATGGCTTTCAGGGCCAAAAAGGGTTTTGCACTTGATCTTTGCTGGCTCTTGCTGACCAAATGGAGACAAGATGTTGGGGGGGGGAGTTTTCCTTGGAGCCTGAAGGTGTTAATGGTGGTTAGAGGAGAGAATCTTCTAGGTGCCTCTTTCTGAGCCGGAATGTGGAATCTGATACACCCCGAGTGCTCTTCAAGTTAAGTGAGCATCATTTTCATTCCCCCTAGATCCTGAACAGATCAATATGGACTAGGGAGGTGTAATCCTCAAACCACAAACATTTAAGTGCTCTCTCTCTATCTCCCCCACCTTGCTTTCGCTAGACAGAATTTAATAAGAGAGCACAATCCGGGGGAAATTAAGCACTTTCAGGTCCCAGCCGCTTCGATGGGAAGCATTTGAGCATGTGCTTAATGCTCCCAGTGGAACACAGATCGGGGAGAGTCAAAAGTGCTTAAAAAGGTAAAGGACCCCTGACCATTAAGTCCAGTTGCGAATGACTCTGGGGTTGCGGCACTCATCTCGCTCTATAGGCCGAGGGAGCCGACGTTTGTCCGCAGACAGTTTTTCCGGGTCATGTGGCCAGCATGACTAAGCTGCTTCTGGCGAACCAGAGCAGCGCACAGAAACGCCGTTTACCTTCCCAACGGAGCGGTACCTATTTATCTACTTGCAGTTTGACTTGCTTTTGAACTGCTAGGTGGGCAGGAGCAGGGACCGAGCAACGGGAGCTCACCCCGTTGTGGGGATTCGAACTGCCAACCTTCTGATTGGCAAGCCTTAGGCTCAGTGGTTTAGACCACAGCGCCACCTGCATCCCTCAAAAGTGCTTAGCTGGACCTTAAACATTCCCCACAGACCCTTTGCAAGAGAAAATGGAGACAACTCAATGAATCAGATTTATGTTGGGTTAAAAAGGATCTCCTCCTGAGTGCCATCTGTCATGGATGCTTTAATTGAGATTCCTGCATTGCAGGGGGTTGGACTAGATGACTCTCGGGGTCCCTTCCAATTCTATGAATCTATGAGGTCTGGCGCCTGAGTGCAGAGCCTGGGTAGCTGACCTCTTCAGGAACAGGGTGCATTGGACAGGGGATCAGGGTGGGGAAGAGGATGACTGAGCCTCAGGTGCTAATCACAAGTGCCTTGTTTGAAGGAAAGGACTCAGGAGAACCTAGAGAAACTGTGGACGGGGACTTCCAGGAGCAGAGGGCATCCCCTTGCCTCTTTTTTCAACCTCCCTGGAGTTATTAAAAGTTGATAACTATGCTAAGGTTGCCCTCATCCATGCTAAGGACTGCCTTTTGCTCTCCTTGGGTGCTCGTCCATCACACCATCTCCCTTTCCGCGCTCAGGGCAGAAAGTGTCAGGACCAAGCCAGGTTTGCCCAGCCAGGCTTGCTGGAGGTGAAAGGGACCTGGGGCAGGGGTGGGAGGGGGCTATTTTCAGGTGGGTGGAAGAAACAGCCGATGAGAAGCCTCAGCACCGAGACACCAGCCAAGCGGGCATTCGCTCGCCCCAAGCAAAAGTGCTGCCACAGCCATGGATGGGATGGAGACAAGACGTGGTTCCAAGATCACACATGACTGGATGCAGCGGACAGGGGACAACCTGAGATCATGTTTGCAGCAGCATGGACAGCAAGGTTGGGGGAAAAAAACCTGGAAGCATTGCCAGGTGGCACGGGCAGAGGGATGGGACAGGGTTTGGGGCAGGTGGGTTTCAGCTGCTTAGTGGAGCTCAGCTGGGCTCATGTGGAAGCGGAAGACCAGCACTCTGCGGACCCGAGAGGTGGTCCGCTGAGCTCTTGAGTGACCTGGATGCTCAAGGGGGCAGCACCCCCCGCAGGCCCTGCTCATAAAGCGACCTCTCCTGGCCCTTTCCAAGACTGCTCTCAGCAGAAGGATGAACATCTCACAAGCTTCTGGCTTATAAACTGTGTGCACCATGCCAGTGGGCCCCGTTTGTGGCCTATGGCAGAGAAGGGCTTCGTGGCCACAATTTCATGGGTCTGCTTTGGGCAGTGGGAGGAGCATGAAGAAGACAGTGTGGAGACAGCACACCTTTCCTGAGAGCTGCCTC